AATATTATTGTAAGTATTTTCAGAAAAGAGTGAGAGGCTATCAATTTGTATTATATGATCTGTGGTTAGTTCATATACTTAAAAAAGATAATACTAATCTTTAGAATCACAGCACAGGTAAAGAAAACATGAAATATGTTAAGTCATAACTAGTTTTTTGTCAGGGTACTTGCTGAAGGTGTTAGGTTGGAATGAATAATTGCCAGACTAACATGCAGAAAATCATCCAGAATAACGAAGACACAAACTATGCCACAAAATACATATGTATTGACTCAAATGTTGTATGTTATTTGTTGTTCCTGTGAAGTTTAAAGTGGATGTTCCCCATGGAAGGGTGGCTCCTTTGACAACACAGGCTCTTTTCAGCTTTCAGCTACAAGTCAGCCAGTCATGTATGTTAAGTCAGAGGAGAGGGGAAAGGAAGTGGAGCATTATGTGTGGGAGGTTTTTATTGGGTCAGCCCCAGGAGTGGCACATGTAGTTTCAGTATATGTATATGTGTATAGATGTATGTCGTATTGTCAGGATTAAAAAAACAACAACAATGTGGCAGGGTTTTGCTCAGTCGGTCACTGTCTGGCTTTACCCAGACTACTGTTTTGAGAATACCAGGGAGCAAAGGCTACAGCAGAGACACTGGTCAGGAGACACTTGTGGTAATTCAGGCAAGAGGTGATGTCTTAGATCAAGGTGAGTGTGATGGAGATGGTAAAAAGTGGTCAGAATTTAGGTTTATTATGAAGGTAAAACAGTTTGCTGATAGATTGGATATGTGATGTGAGGGAAAGGGAACAACTAAAGAATAACTGAAGATTTTTGCCAAAGAAGAGTATGGAAAAGAGGAAAGAGGTTTGGGAGAGACAGTCAGTTCGGTTTTGGCTTTGTTGACATGGTAGTGGCATATTGGAAGTTGTTTTGTATTTTTTGTTCTCAGATATAGCAATATTCAACATCCTCCCCTTCAGTTCCAGGCACCATCCATGTCAGTACATATAGATATACTGCATTGCTTTCAACATTTCCTTTTGTTGTATTTGAAACATGTGTGCTCAGGCAGTACTTTGCACCCTTTACAAATATTAACTCACTCAAGGCTAACCTCAGCTCTGATGTGCTGTCATTATTCGTCAGTTACAAATAAGTAAACTGAGGCCCAGAGAGGTTAACATACCTAAGACAACATAACTTGGAACTAGCGAAGCCACAACTACATCGTAATTCACTTCACCAACCAACTAATGACAGATCTGGGGGGTAGTTCCACTTTGGGAGTTACTATATGTTGCATAGAACATCCATTTTCGTATCTTTGGACATTGGTGTGTTTTAAATAAGAATGGTAATACTAGGTCAAAAGATACACACATTGCCTATTTTAACAGATATCACCAACGTGACCTTCAAAAGAATAATTCCAGTTTATCTTCCCAGGATGCCTATCTTTGTTCTTTTTGTAATTATCTAATCTGGTAACATTTTTGCTCATCTACTTATATTGTTTTGTTTTTTTTTTAAGATTTTATTTATTTATTTTCAGAGAGGGAACGTGAGAGAAAAAGAAAGGGAGAAAAATATCAGCATGCAAGAGAAACATCAATCAGTTGCCTCTTGCACACTCCCAACTGGGGACCCGGCCCACAACCCAGGCATGTGCCCTAGCAGGGAATTGAATTGTCAACCTTTCTGCTTGTAGGCTGGTACTCAATCCACTGAGCACACCAGCCAGGACTGCCTATACATTTTAACGATGAATAAGCACACCTTGTTTGTAATGGTTCTGAATAGTCTGATTAAATCCTGTTGGATTTATAGCAGTTGCTGGAGAACATAAACAATAACAAGTATTGAAGCCAAGGGAAGTTTCCATGTGAATGGAAATACACTGTGTTTGGACCGGGATGGAGTGAGGTTGTATTCGTCAGATTGCTAACTCCTCCCCAAAGGTAACCAGTATCCTGACTTGTAATACATTTGATTAGTTCCATATGTGTTTACACTTTTTTTTATCCTCACCCAAGGACATTTATTTTAAAAGACTTTATTTACTTATTTTTAGAGAGAGAGGAAGGGAGGGAGAAGAAGAAGGAGAGAAACATTAATGTGTGATTGTCACTCGCACACCCCCTATGGGCGACCTGGCCCATAACCTAGGCATGTGCTCTAACTGGGAATGGAACCAGTGACCCTTCAGTTCACAGCACTCAATCCAGTGAGCCACACCAGCCAGGGCTTGCTTTTTTTTTTTTTTTTTGCATTTCTTTTAGATAGAGGTGGGCAAGGAGAGAGAGAGAGAGAAACATCGATTGGTTGCCTTCTTGGTCATCTTCTGACCAGGAATCTAACCCACCACTTGTGCCCTGACCAGGAATGGAGCCCTCAACCTTTCCATCTACAGGAGGACGCTCCAACCAACTGAGCCTCACTAGCCAGAATGAACTTTGTATTCTTTTGCTTCTGCTGCTTTCCCTCAATATCCTGTTTGTGAGATTAGTCCATGATGTGTCTAGCAATAATTTGGTCATCTCATTGTTGTGTAGTATTCTACTACATGAATTTTTAAACATATTGCTGTTGATAGTTTCCAGGTTTGGATTATTACAATAGTACTACTTTGAGCACTGTTTTAACTGCCCTTTGATGGACATACTTACATACTTCTTAGCAATTAAGTTGTCATAGGATTGTCAAATATTCAACTTTATTAAATCTTGCCAGTTTTCAAATTGGACATACCAGTTCATACTCCCATCAGCAGTGTATGTGAGTTCCTGTTGCTTCACCAGCACTGGATGCATTGTGTTTTTCATTTGTGCTATTCTGACAGGTATGCAGTGGTCTTGCATTTGGTTTTAAAATGCATTTCCATGATTACTAAAGTTGGGCATGTATTTTACTTAGCATTTTTATACCTTTGAGTTGAAGTACCTGTCTGTGACTAGGTTCTTTTCATAAGTACTCTACTTTTTTTTATGAGTAAAATTTTAAAGTAGGCTCCCATATATAAAACAGAGTATTATATAAAGAGCATTTCTTGAGAGGCAGCATTATAGCATGGTAATTCAAAACAGATTCTGGACCCAGGTTTCCTCCATCGGGAACCCTGATTTTCTCATTTATTAGCTCTGTGACTGTGGGCAAGTAAGTTACTGGACTCCTTTTCTGCTTTGGTTACCTTGTTTCTAAAATGAATATAATAAGGCTTTCATCATAAGATTGGTGTCTGGCTCAAATAAGTTAGTTTATGTAACATGTCAGACAGTGCATGGTACATAATAAGTACTAATAGTGTTAGCTGTTAGTAGTGGTAGTGGTGGTAATATAAATTTATTTTAAGGATTCACACCAAATTAGCTGACAAGAATAACAAGGTTTTAGTGTGGGACACAAATTTGAAATTGAAGGTTATAGATAATAGTCGTGGTTTATTTTAGCCTTAGCCTCCAGTTTTTTGTTTTCTTGGTTGGATAATACCGAGAAAATCTTGAAGATGTGCAATTAAAAATAGATAAGGTTTACCCAGCAGTTTTAGGATTAAGCTTTTAGACCAGATTGACAAGTAGTAGAAACTGTTACTAAATGTCTCAATTTGCTTGGATTTACTCTTTTCATGTAAAAAGCAGAGAAGTAGCACTAAAAATTACGGTTTCGATATCTATTGTGTTATCACAACACATCTGCATTACAAGTTTGCTTTCTCTTGTTCTCAGCCGCAGGATGAGTAGCACCTGTACTAAACCCTTGCTTGGCACAACAATGTGCGCATCATGGGGACTGTAATGTGTGTTTACTCACTGGTGTAAATTTAATGAGCCAAATTAGAGATTTGATTAGAAACAAATCGGAAGTCAGAGCTACAGTTTTCCTAATTAGTAACATATTTTCAAGATACTCAAATGAAGGTGGCAAGAAAAGCTGCGCAAACCATTATGAGTTTATCAAGCAGCACACAGTGTTGTTTCGTATCTGCTGTGTTCACACAGTCACAGATTATCACTTGCAAACTGCCTTGTGTATTCGCAGGTAGCTGACCCTTACACCAGGAGAGTTTCTAACTAATGTCAGGCGTTCAGACAGACTTAAATGAGTATCTGACAGGCTCCTCTAGCACCAGCTGTATTTCTCCCCAGCAGACTGCCTCCTACTACTTCTCAGCCAGTGTGGGCTCCTCCAGGCGGGCCACCCCCCCCCCCCCCCCCGCCTTGCCAGCAGCATGGATTTCTGTTCCCATCTCTGTGGTGATAGTGCCTGGGACACTCCTATTATCATCGTCTATTTTGAGTGCTGCAGTTTCTTCATGGTCCTGCTTGAACTCCACCTTCTCTCAGAGTCAGTCCTCTCTGTTATCATTCTTTCCTGTGAAATCCTGTCCGAGCAATCTAAAACTTTTTAGATTTTTTAAAGACTTTTTTTCGAGTCTAAAACTTTTGTTTGATATCATAAAGTAGTGCTCTGTGAGCACTTCCCCAAATCAGTGCCCGTCACACACTCCATCAGCAGAGGGAGCTAAATAAAAGATGATGAATCCCTGCAATTAAGACTCAAAGCAGAAGTATTCCAATGCTTAAAAACAGTGGCATTTTCACACACAGCTCTGTAGGGAAAAAAGAGCTTGAATAATGTTAGAAATCAAAGATTTGGGCCCTAATCCCAGGTTAAAACTTCTATGAGGTGATTTGCAAAGTGCTTTTGAAAGAGTTAATTTTATACCATTTAAAAAACCTATTTAGGGGGATGACCTGATAAACTTTAAACCTATGTGTGTTAGGAGAGGCGTTCTGCTGTTTAATTTTTTTAAATCCAGTTTATCTCCCCTCTGAAAGTTTTATTTATTAGGGATGATAAAATGAGGTTGCTAGCTCTGTGAAGAATTTCATATGCAGCACTGAGTCCTAAAGTTGCTAAGGATCATGGCTAACTCATTCCAAGATTTTAAGATGGAATTTTCAAGTAAATTTTTTATATTTTGTTTTGATTAAGTGTATGTATCTTAATTTCAGTTAGCAGACTTGAAGAAAGAGAAGCAGAACTGAAGAAAGAATATAATGCATTACATCAAAGACACACTGAGGTGGGTTTTTGGGTCATTCTTACCATGCTGATGATATTGAGTACAAAAAAACCTTAGGAATTATGTCTTAAGTTTTCTGTGAAAACCAGCTAGTATGATTCTTGGGGATAATTTTCGGAAAACATTAAATTTCATGTAGCATTTGCCTAATTACCAAATGTTGATTTTTAATGTTTTTTATTTGGAATTGACTTTTCACTTGATGAATAGTGTGCCTCCGGCGGTTGTTCCTGTGGCTGGTCGAGTGAAAACTTAGGTGTGCATAATCAAAGGTGTACACGATGCTAACATGAGAGAATTGGTTTAGTTTATCTTCTTAACAGTTGATAGATGATGGATTGGCCAATTGTGTGTAGGATTCTTGACATTTATAATTCAGATAAAGGACTTATTTGCCTTAATCTTACAACAAATAATATAAACACAAATTATAATGTGTTCAATCAAAATGACTCTAAAACAGGTTTTCTGCATGAAATTTCAGTGCTTTAATAGGACAGTGCCTCCTACTATATCATAGCACTTACATATGTAAAGTCACAAAGCCAAAATTTTGATATTTTTCAGTATTTTAATTTAATAACCCCAGTACATAATCTACTAGTAAGTTAGAAAATGTACTTGGGTGTTTTTTTTTAACATGTTATGATTCTCTGTCAGCCTTTCATTTGTTGCTTTTGTTTATATCTCCTTAATGTGAAAATTGTTTCTATTGTATCATGATCACCTTGGGGGTCACATATTTAAATATATAGAGCTTCCATAGATGCATGCACTATTTGTTACAAGAAAAAAGTAAGAATTCCTCTATTTTCCCCTTTCTAGTCCAGTCTCTCCCATGATACAGACAGTTCCAGTCTTTAGCTCCCCTTTTTTCTTTCACTAGTTTGTGTGATCTCTTATCCTGCTTCTAGTGGAGACCTATGTATTGTTGCTTTTCAGGGAGATAAAACCCACTGCGCTCGGTTTTATTGGCTTTGGAATAATGTGCTTAAAACGTTCTTGGAGAGGGGTTTGAATTTCCTTCTGACATAAAGGTTTGATATCACTATCTTAGCTTACATAGCCACACACAAAGCATGAAGTGTCACAGAATTGAAATTCAGTGGCAGAGGGAAAAGATTGGCCACAGAGGGCTGGAACCATAGAGCTCTGGGAAGACAGGAACAGCTTCACAGAAGCCTTTCAGGATATAGAAAATACCCGCATTTTAGTGAGATGACACCTGGTGGAGATCAAGACTGTTAAAATAACGATTGGTAAAGGCCTATTGTTGGTTCTTTTTACACCATTCATTTCAGTGTCTGAACAATGCCTTGTACATGGTGTTTACTAGTAGTGCTTATCAATGCTATGTTTGGGGGAATATGTGTATGTACCAGAAATAACTGATAGTGATGAATAATCCTTTTTTTAAAAAATTCTAACCTTTGTAATAATTGAGGATTATTAAAGTATGATGTGTTAAACTGAAGAGTGCATAAAATACATGCATTCTTGAAAAATCACCATAAAGTGAAATTTCATAATTTTTCTCACTTATTTTACTTTTTATTTTATTTATTTATTTTTAGAGAAATGGGATGGGAGGAAGAAGCAGAGAGGGAGAAACCGCTTTGTGCAAGAGATTCTCGAATGGGTTGCCTTTCACATGCCCTCAACTGGGGACCTAGCCTACAACCCAGGCATGTGCTCTGACTGGGAATTGAACCAGTGACCTTTCAGTTTGCAAGCTGGGGCTCAATTCACTGAGCCACACCAACCAGGGCCATGTATTTACTTAATGAAAGTGATGTTGCTATAGAAAAGCAGCCTGACACCTTGAAATAAAAAGATATGGTAATTTTTTTGTCCTGTTCCTTCACAGAAGGATAGTTCCGGGAAGAAAAAAGATCCCAGGAGAACTCTTAAATTCTCCAATTCAAGACCTAGGCCTGTGCAGTTACCAAGGCTGATTTGGCGTGTAGCAGGGCACCTCTTTTCATCAGGTCCTCTCCCTCAGTCCCAGCAGTCCTACTCTCGACCCTGATGGGCTCCCTTTATTTTGCCCTGCCTCAAGGAACGTTCATGTAACACCGATACAGCTGCTTTGATATGTGGGTTTGTTCACTGGAGGCCACATTTTTCTGTATTTATACATCTGCCCAAGAAATGTCATTCAATTAGCAATTATAAATAGCTATCCAGTGCTAATGACCCAGGTGTCCTTGAAAGGTAAATTCTGGAAACCTTTAGGGAAAGGAAGTCTGAAGGACTTAACCTTCATTTTTTCACTATTATTACAAACTAAAGTAAGCATTTAAAATAGGCACAAAAATGTTTCAGTAGCACTTTCCAACACATTGTTTGCTGCTTAGGGAAAATCTATGGCTATTTTTGTAACATGAATAACTGTTCTTTAATCAAATCCAAAATTTTATACACATCACTGAAATTGCTTAAAAGAAAACATACTTAAAGAAGAGGGAAGTTGAGGAAATAATAAACATCAAGTAGTTGTGAGGCACTCGGCCACATGTGTACATACTCTTAACATTAATTCCCGAAAACTTGAGCCCTGGTCTTACATCAGGGAATATTTCAGTGCATTCTCATTTTATCCTCTGATCAAACCCACTTTACATATTCAAGTTTCAAAACAGTATGAAGTGATTTGTCCCAAACCCCATGCTAGTATGTGACTGGATTTGAATCTAGGTCTGTCTGAATCCATTGTCTGTTTTCAGTAATGCTTTGGGGTTGTGGAACCCATGGGTGTTAAATGTACTGGAAATTTTTCTGTGCCCTTTTGCTTTACGGCATCTCAGCAGCTTTAAGAAGAGTGGCTCTGTGGATGTAGATATTTGATCGTTGGGCTGAATATGGAAGGATTTAAGTTCAACACAATTAAAGGGATCCACGCTACTGTCTTCAGAACCTCACTATTGTCTGTCTTGTTAGTTTTAGTCCAAGCCGACAGTCAACCTCAAATGTGAACATTTCTCCGGGAGGGAGGGGGGTTGGGAGTTTTCAGACAGTGTGCTTGTAATCCTTTTTTATGACTGTAGCTATTGGTCGCTGACTTGATACTTGACTATGTATGAATAGATGTGCATAACTGAGAAATTTAAGAACTGCAGTTCTGAGATTGGGGGGAATGAGGCTGGTGGACCCAACTGTAGGTTATCTAAAACATCTTCCATTTTACTCTCTTCTCTTTCTCTTCTGTCTGGCAGTACTGATCCTGCCCTCCCACTTGTGATTTTCAAAGACCAGAGCTACATTGTGAAGCCCTGTGATTAAAATTTATTTTTGGTACAATTTATATTTTCTACTCTTTTGTGCATTTATAGAATTAGTGCATATTTTATTTCAGACGTCAGGAAATGCTTAAGGGTGTGGGGTTTTCTTGTGGGTGTGAGGAAGAAAAGACAATGAGCTTATTGTCTGCCTAGAGAACTGACTAAAAGGTCACATTACACCATGAGTCCTATGAGGCTTACCTGCTCAGTTGACTGAGTCAGAGGGACCTGAGCTCTGGCCCCAAAGCCAATCAGCTAATGACAGAACATAGTTGATGATTAACTGGCTGGTCAGATAGGACAAATTATTTTGACCTCCTTAAACTGGAGTCCCCTAAAATTCTAATATTGTTGTGAGGTTTAAATGAAGCAATGGCTGGCTGTAAATGCTCTGGTTGACTTGTAGTCGGTGTTCAGTAAATGTAAGCTGCTACTTTGTTACTATTCTCTCCTATTCTAGTGCAGTTGGGTTGAAACCAGTCTCATTACCTAGGCCATTTTGGAATGGTAGAATACTGTATCTGAATTGGGATCAGTCATTTGAAGGTTTAGAATTCAACATTTTCTAAATTAAAAACATTTTTTATTTAATCATTTTAGACAAGAATCAATCTGTAGCTAGACTATTTTGGGGTAAAAACTGATTCTTTGTATTTTATTTATAATTCTTTTTATTCTATATTAAATAAATAGATTACTATAAAAGCAATCTAGGGGAGGTTTCTGTTCATCTGAATTGCTTAATGAAATTTAGGTTCTTCCATTGGAACTCACCAACTTTATATGATTACCATCCAGTATAAAAGAATTCAACTTAGGTTTTCTAAAACCTTTTGAAGATATAAATTGATATTTGGCCCAAACATCATTTTGTTATATTAGTCTCATTTAAATATTTTTCCTTAGCCCTGGCAGGTATGGCTCAGTGGATTGAGCACCAGCCTGGGAACCAAAGGGTTGCTGGTTATATTCCCGATTCCCAGTCAGGACACATGCCTGGGTTGCTGGCCAGGTCCCCAGTGGGGGGCAGGTGCAAGGCAACCACACATTGATGTTTCTCTCCCTGACTTTCTCCCTCTCTTCCCCTCTAAAAATAAATACATTTTTAAAAAATAAATATTTTTCCTTAGACACAAGAAGAAAACAGCTTATTATTTCTGCTTGCTGCCACAAAGACAAACTGTATTTTTACAAAACTGTTATTAAAGAGAAAATCTGTAAATTTAAAATAAGTGTATATATAAATTTAAAGGCTGAAAAATATTTTCACATACCATATTCATGTGATTCTGTATTCGTTTTTCTTTGCCTTGTACATTTCTTATTTGGACTAGTCTTAAGTGGGGAACAAACCTGATTAATTATTTATTTTAAAATGTGAGCCCTGGCTGGTGTGGCTCAGTGGAATGAGTTCTGGCTTGTGAACTAAGGAGTTACCAGTTCGATTCTCAGTTGGGGTGCATGCCTGGGTTATGGTCCTTCTCCCTATCTTTCCCTCTCTTTAAAAAAATAAAAATATTTTTTAAAAGTGTGTGATTTAGTAGAATTACTCATCTTAATTCATGCATCAGAGTTCAGCATTATGTTTATTTGTTAATAATTTTCAAATTGGGTTAGATATTTCATGATCGTACATGAATGCCAAGTAAAATATTCACAACAAAAGAGTACTTTAAAAATTTTTTTAATTTTTAAATATTTTTTCTTTCAACAGTTATCTTTTTAAAATGCTACAATGAATATTTAAATTATTAATATTGAAACCCACCTTCATACAGCTAAAGTTCAGAAATTTCAAAGATATGCTACAGTTTTAAGAATTCAGGGAATATTCCCAAAAAAGATATTGACTTTTCTGTTTGCCTACTCTTAATATTTACATTTCTTATATTGATAACATACCTTTTGTTATTTTTAAAAAATTGTTATATTACAGTTGTCCCAGTTTTCCCCATTGCTCCTCCCCCCAAAGTCAGTCCCCCACCCTGTCATCCATGCCCACGGGTCATTTATACCTGTTCATTGATTAGACCCTTCCCCCTCTTTTCTCCCTTGTCTCCCTCCCTACTTTTGTTGTTGTTTTTTAATTTTTATTATTTATATCATGTTAGTATCTAGCAAAGGCTTTTAAATTTTATAATAGAAACTTACTGCATTTTACATATTTTAATGTCAGATTTAAGTTTCTTAAAAGTGGAGCTACAGATTATTGAGAATCTCAATAGGACTGTAGAATTTCTTGGCAGTTTATATACTTAATATTCTTGAAATTTTCACTTCCATATTCAACTTATCCATCCAAGACACACAATCACAGTGCTCTGATTTTTTATTTGTTTTAATGTGCTGCTATCTAAATAATTAGATTAAGTAATGATACCAGTAATTTAGCAAAGGAGAAACTATATTAGCATTCTTTCAACTAAATATATAGAAATAATATGTAAACATCTTGGATTTTAATTAAATTAATTAACTTGAAAATCATCTTTACTCTCTGCATCCTTTGTAAAATAGAAGAGATCACCACATAAAGGTATGGTTGGTTAAACAAAAAACTTTTACAGCTGGAAGCTCTTCTGAGGACATCTTAGATTTTTCTCCTTGTCATTTTCTTCTCGTTTCATGTTCATTTCTATTGTTTCCCATTTCACTGAAGGGACTTCTCAGATGCCCTCTATTATTTTAACCAATTCTCTGATCACTTCCCAATTATCTGTGTTCTAATTTGTATTATGTCAAAATTATATCATTTAATAGTATCACAATGTAAAAAAGGGTTTTTTTGCCATGCTAATAAGCAGCATGTTGCCTACTTTCATGAATACAGCATCCTTAAATGTAAGCACTTGCACATTTCTTTGCCACTAAAATTATTTTTAATTGAGTTTATTAGGGTGGCATTGGTTAATAAAACCATACAGATTTCAAGTGTACACTTCAACAAAACATCTGCACACTGCATTGTGCATCCATCACCCAAAGTCAAGTCTCTTTCTGTCCCCATTTATCCCTCCTTTGCCCTCTTCTACCTCCCCCAACCCTCCCCTCCAAAATGTTTTCATTCTGACATTCTTTAAAAAAATAATTTTAAAAATTGATTTATCATTTTTTAGAGTGAGAGAGAGAGAGGGAGGGAGAGACAGAGACAGACATTGATTTGTTGTTCCACTTAATGCATTCATTGGTTGATTCTTATATGCGTCCTGACTGAGGATCGAACCTGCAGCCTTGGTGTATTGAGATGATACTCTAACCAACTGAGCTACCCAGACAGGGCCTAATAATCCTTTAAATGGAGCTGTTGGTAATCTGATAAATAAGAAATTTATACAAAAATGTTTTCCTTGTTAAAACTTCATGTTTTTTATTCCAGGTATTAGTCTTAAATTTTTTGTGTATTTTTTTTCTTCATAACAGATGATCCATAATTATATGGAACACTTAGAAAGGACAAAACTTCATCAGCTCTCAGGGAGTGATCAACTAGAGTCTACCGCACATAGTAGAATTAGGTAAGCTGTGTTATATGTTTGCCTTGAGAAAAAAGACAAATGAATGATCTGCCTATTTCTGTTTCTCTCTGTTCTTTAATCCTGGAACAATAGTTAGGCTGGTTCAAAAGCTCCCTACTGTGGTTGGAATGCTATAGGAAAGAATAGCATAGAAAAATAGAAACAACCTTCACCATTTCAAAGGTAAATTGTGAGCCATGCCGTATAAGCAGCATATTGTTGTATTTTATTGTTTTCTATTAATGGAGATTACAGTAGGTGTAAATTTTTCTGATGTTTAAGAATGCAGGACATTTTCAGTCCTCCTGGTTAAAGTCCTTTTTGTTGCTGAGAGGCATGTTTGAAAGGGTTAGCGAGACTTCTGTTAGATGTAGGAGTTTGAATAAATTATGTAGATCGCCAAGCATTGTAGCCAATGAGCGAAGCCAGGACTCTTAGTTGAGAGGAACGTAGTTAATAGGCTGCCTGTCGCTCAGGATTGCTGCATAAATGCTAGGGGCAGCAGCTCTATGGTTATGAGGTGGGGAGAGTGGGGTGACGTCATCGCTTCGGAGCTGCTGCAGGACGGAGTGGGAAGCTGCTGCTGATGGCATTGTTTTCGTGGCAGCAGCTGAATGACAGATCCTTACTACAAAGATACCCCTTTGGCCCCCGTGTAGGCCTCCTGGTTCGGGCGGTTCACCATGCCAGCACAGCGCCATGAGTCCTGGATGCATGCTGCTGTTTGTGTTTGGCTTTGTTGGCGGGGCGGTGGTCATTAATTCTGCTATCTTAGTATCTCTCTCTGTATTGCTGCTTGTGCACTTTTCTATCTCTACCGGTGTGCCGGCTCTGACGCAGAACCTACCAAGGATACTCAGGTACTCCAGTCTCTCTTAGCAGCCCGTTTAGTTGGTTTTTCTCAAGCTTCAGGCATCTGCTTTGTAACCATTTCTGTTGCAGATTGAAACAATGGAAAATGGCCTGAAGCTAGGGTTTCTATTTTTATTTGTATTCATTTGTAGACCAGCATTTAGGGATGCTGTTTTATGTTTGGATACTGAGGACTTCAGAAAAGGGTTTTCATATTGTACTTACCTACAAGTACAAGGTCAGTGTGGTCTTGTTTTAAGCAGAGTGTTGAAAGAGTGAGGGGCGAGCAGAAGTAGAGTGCCAGGTCCAAGTTCATACAACCTCTGGTTTAGTATAGGAGCTTTTAGGGGCAAATATCTTTTATGCTGGGACACAGAGTTGATTAGACAAAGGCTGGAGGTGTTTATTTTGTTCCAATTATCCTTTGACTGTTAGTGGTTCAGTCGTTATTTTTGCAATTTTTGATAGCAGCTCATGGGAACTAATTTTTCTCTTAAAACAAATTATATTTTAAAGTGAAAGAATTTAAACCTTTTAGGGCCAGGAATGCATTTTCCTCCATTATTTACACATCAAAGTTGTGAGAGCTTTACAAAGCCTATTCACTATTGTTTAGTCAGATGTTGCCCTTTCTTTGTAGACTTGGGTGACAAACATTCATGCCTGCTTGTGGGGGTAGTCATTAATCTCTAGCTTTTCTGCTGTTCACTCTACTTGTGCCCTGTAGGAACCATCTCCTACATTTTAGAGGTTTAAGGTTTAGGTTTCTTTTGTTTCTAACTCATCAAACTAAACTCTGATTTGTTCAGCTTTCTGCTTTGCACATGGTTTTAAATGAAGGTTCATAGTGTATAGATGTTATTATTTAAATGTTTACTTAAAATACTTCTAATTATGGGTTTAGATAAATTAAGAGGAATTAAAGTAGTAGTACATTTCTTCAATCTGTTCTTTTTAATTCACAGGTCAGTTCATATTCAACATTAGTTTAAGGCCCAGAAATTAAATTTTATGATCTAGAACTAAATACCTTGGTCATTTCCTTTTGTGGTTTTATAAAAATGAGGAGAGATCTTATTACTTGTGTATATTTCAGTACATGAAACGTGTGTGTATGTGTGTGTGTATACACTTTTAGGAAATTAAATATACCTTAACTTAAGAATATATAGAATATTAAAAAAGACTAATTCGAAGTGGGTGAGAGGCTCTATGGCTGGGCTGCCTGGGTACACGTGCTCCGCCACAGACGGGTTAGCCATGGGGCCTGTAGCAAATTGCTTGCTCCTCTGTGTTTGATTTTCCTCCTCTGAGGTTCTTACCCCATTGGGTGGTTTTAAAAATCAAGGGACATGATCATTTTATACTTAATCAGTTATAAGGTATATAGTACACTAAACAAGTAGATAGTTTCCATAGTTACTTATGTGTACCCCCTTTTTGGCATAACTGTTTTAGCTCCAGCTATTTTACTGATCAAATAACTTATGATTAAATTCAGTAAGTTCCTTGACACAAAAGTTGCTGTTAATCTGAACAAAGATATCAAAGACTTCAAAATTAAAATTAAACTGTCAAGAAGTGGGTAGCTCCAAGGAAAATGCATGGGCCTTGGAGTCAAACAGTTCTGACTTTGAACCCTATCTTCCAATTACCAGTGTCTAGTCTCTGAGCGTTGCTTTTCCTAATCTGAAGACTGAGACAAAAATCCCTATTTCCTTATGGAGATGAATGAGATCGTATATATAAGTCATCCATTTCAGTGCTTGCCACACAGTACTGAACATGTGTAATTTTTTTTACTGCCATATATATGATTGTTTACTTTAAATGTTAATAAAGCCAAAACATATTTGTGAAATTATTTATGCATGTAAGGTAACATTTCAATGAACAACTAAAAAATGGATGTATGAAACTAAGGCCATTTTTAAAAGAATACAACAAGGATTCTGATAGTTTATAGTTTTGTTTCTAGACAGTGATAGCACTGAAACATATGAGGTTTAAATCTGCCACTTCATATTTTTCCATTTATCCCACTCTTTGGTTTCTTCTGTGAATTTTACTGAAGCAGTTAACACATAGAGTACTAAACATGCATACCAACATAGTGTAAAACTAATGGTCACATTTTGGGTTTCTTTCCAAAGTAGGATTCCAACTGGCTTGCATAATTACATGTCCTTCTCCCTCCCCCTAACTCTTATGTAATTTATCAGTAAAAGGAGGAGAGAAGGAATGTATGTAGTAAGATGATTTTTTAAGAGTTGGAACAATGTAAGCCCGAGTTTCAGTGACAGCTGCCAGTGGCTGAAGAAAATTCCCTTTCTATAGAGCAGTATCTGAATGATTAATAAAAGCAAAATAAAGAGGTGTGAACAATTCTTGTAATTAACCAGTAGTAGGAAAGTAAAACTTGGATCTACAGTAGACACTTTTTCAGTGTTTGACACGTGTGAAAATGAATGGTTATCATCCATATAAGAAGATAATTCTCATGACTGGCCTGTATTTTGATTTTGTTAGCGGTGTGATGGATTCACGTGAAGTCTTTAGTATGTATTCTTGGTTGTCTTTGTATTTTGGGTTAGAGAGCTTTCCATCAAATCCATCTATTAAATTCCCAGTCACTCCTTTGTTTATGTCATTAAGATTTTCAGTTCCCACAATATGTTCCCCCAAATTTAAGGTATAAGCATCAGGTCAACAACTTTTTATTTTGCCAAGTATGGAAAACAAAACACTTTCCAATTGCTGTTATTATAATTTGATGAAAGAAAGAGCATTTTAAAGTCAAAGAAGCAGAGAAGATGCAGAAAAGGGTCATTCTCAAGAAAGAACAGGTTCCATGATATGTGGAAATGTATGTGTAAAATGTATACTATATTTTCCAATAATGATACAATACATAATGCATCTCTTTGCCATGAAATTATGAAAACTTTGTTGCTGAACCAGCATTTGGGAATAACAGGTATAAACAGGATAGCTGATGAGTTACTTTAATTTTTGTCATTTGGTTGTTTTGGCAGCTCATCGTCACAGACTTGGATTTGGTATTAAAATCTAGCCTTTTATTGTGCTGCCTACCTGCATTCGAATTTTCCTCCCAAATCAAGTAGGAAAAGTAACCCAAGTGTGCGGAAATGATGAATAATTAACTCTAACTGATCAAGTCCTGTTTCATTTTCTTGTGCATACCACCTTAATAAAATGCAGTCTCTTGACCCTTTGCTTCACCTAATCTTAAGAAAGTGTTCTGGTCGTTTTACAACCCTTTCTGATTGTCATTAGTAATGGAGGGGCAAGCCCTTTGTATTAAGTGAGGGCACATTTCAAAAGTGGCTTAAGTTTCTTGATATAAAAGTGAGTTTACAGAATAAAATACATACTTAGCAAAAATGAATACTTTGCGACTTTTATTTATAACCTCAGTGTTTCTATTCAAACTTAAATTACTACCAGTAAAGGTTGAGTTTACTGCCCTAAACTTTCAGTGTCCCCTGCCTTGCCAGTTTCCACACTTTTGAGTTAATGACCTAGGATGACCTTGTGGTAGGCTTGCTTCCATACTCTAAGATCCCTTAGATTTGGAAACTTCTATGCATCAGCAAAGGTCGAGTTTCTTGTTGGAATTCTATTATTATTAAAATTGTAACTCTTGTTCATTGAAATCTCCCACAAAGCAGTGGAAACTACAGCCTTTCATAGAATTTTTGGCCTCCTTGTTTGGAAAAACTGACAATAGTTTTTTCATATGTACTGTGATTAAAAGGAATTTGTACATGGGTTCTTGCTTTAGGGGATGATAGCCTTTTGAGCTCTTTTTACTATTTAATCAGTTACCCTGCTTTAGATCATATGTTCATTTCCTTGAGGCAGAAAAGGCATACCCTGAAGAAGGTTTGGGCAGACATTTAGGACTCAGTGTGAGGACTAGGGAAATCTAGAAGCAGAGGTCAGGTCACTTTCCACGGGAGGAAGGTGCAAGTTATCCTGGTGCTGACTTAAGCCTGAATGAAAATTTAGCGGTTATTCTCTCTGTGAAAGCAAACCACAGACTGCTTTCTGGGCAAGAAACTCATCAATAATTTATAAAATTTCTTAATCATTTCTTACTACTTTTCTTAGTTGATTTCTTCTGGCTGATTTAAACTTTAAGAACCTGTACTTTTCTCTTTGGTAAGTCTACTGCTTCAGATAGGCAGACAGTATTATTTAAAAGTAATGATTCTGAAGTCTTAACAGCCCAGGTTTATTACTTATAGTCATAATGAATGAAGAATTAAAAATGAAAAAGTGCTTAATTTTTTTCTCTCCCCTTTCCATATAGAAAAGAACGCCCTATATCATTAGGGATTTTCCCATTACCTGTTGGAGATGGATTGCTTACTCCTGACACAAAGAAGGGTGGAGAGACCCCTGGATCAGAGCAATGGAAATTTCAGGAGTTAAGTCAACCACGGTCTCATACCAGCCTGAAGGTAAACTTTTTTTTGCTGAAATATTCTATTTATATTTTATAAGGCTTTTTAATCCAAATTGAAGTACTAGACAATCAAAACATAATAAAAACAAAATAGTTTGGGTACATTTTAGTTGGTAAACTGTCTTTTCTTTTTAATGAGCTCTTCCTGAAGAGTTTCAGTTTTTACTATTCTTTTGGAAGTTAATGATACTAATGACCAAAATTTCTATTTGATTTAGGCTACATATATGAATTTAGGGTGGGGTGACCAGTGAACCTAATTATGTTTTTTAGAGTTGAAAATTACTGCCACCTAAAATCCCTGGTTCTCTGTCAGAGGCTTCACAATTCAGTAAAGCTTCACTTTTAAATAATTGGTTCCTTCCTCAAAACCTTTCATAAAGCAATATTCAAAATTTCATTGTGTTTCACTAAAAAGTCCTGGTGTTGCCCTGGCTGGTATAGCTCAGTGGATTGAGCACGTACCTGTGAACCAAAGCGTTGCTAGTTCGATTCCCAGTCTAGGGCACGTGTCTGGGTTGCAGTCCAGGTCCCCAGTAGCGGACACATGGGAGGCAACCACACACTGATGTTTCTCTCCCTCTCTCTCTCCTTCCCCTCTCTCTAAAAATAAATAAATAAATTTTTTTTTAAAAAAAATCCTGGTGTTAATTCATCATGGAGTGTATTCTTGACCAAGAGCTTGTCATCAAATAAGTTATAAATATGATATATATGTAGAATGTATGTCATATAGTGGAATATATAAAGTACTCTAAGAATGGAAATATACTAATTAGTTTTTTAAAAAATATTAAAGTTGTATTCTATATTTTATAATAGAATACTTATATACTTAGGAAAGGAATGTTAATTATAAAAGAACCTTGTTACATTATAAAATCTACTCTGTCATAAAGCAAACAGGCTGCCTACAGTGAATACAAATGAGTTATTTACATCTTAATTCCTTTTCCTGCTCTCTTTCTCTCCAAAGTACTTATCATAGTCTAAGTATTTGAAGGTAGCTTTTAGGATACTTCTAAAATGCTAAGTTATTTACTTACTGACTTTGTTTCTCTCCACCAAGAACATGCAATCCGTGCAGTTTGTTTACTGCTATATTAGCCCACAGTGGCCACTCAGAATACGTTTATTGAATAAATGATTCATTTTAGATGTCAGGAAGACTTTTCCAGGAGGATATAAATGGTCTGTTTCCCAGCTCTAGGAGGTGGAGGTACTTAGAGTCATTCTGTTGACCTCTGAAATGCGCTCAGAGCACTAAGCAGTCAGTCAATACTCAGTAGCTTTCCTTCCCCTGAAGACTATTTTTAACAGTGGGACTGACCTCTCCTTCTTTCCCTTCTCTTTTGCTGTTGCTCATTTTATTAGAGCTGCTCAGTATCAGTCCACAGTGATGCCACCAGGAAACTCTTTCTGTTCTGCTACAGCCGCACTGGCTTTTTTAGCTTGTCTGTAGGTTTAACAGATCTTCTAAAACACCATCCCTCAGTCGCCTACTTGCTGTGTCCCTTTCCCTAAACAAAATTAAGCAGGAGGGATACTTTTAGTACATCAAAAATACATACCATATGGTAACACTGTTTTATTTTATTTTTATTTATTTATATATATTTTAAAAGATTTTATTCATTTCCAGAGAGCGGGGGAGGGAGGGAGAAAGAGAGGGAGAGAAACATCAATGTGTGGTTGCCTCTCACCTGCCACCCCTACCGGGGACCTGGCCCACAACCCAGGCATGTGCCCTGACCTGTAATCGAACCAGCGTCTCTTTGGTTTACAGGCCGGTACTCAATCCACCGAGCCACCCCAGCCAGGGCTAACAGTATTTTAATTACTATACAAAAGGCACCTTAAGAGAAGAGTATTGTAATTCTTTTGTTATTTAATCCAGTGGCAGGATATGACAGAACTTTACTGGCAATTTATAAACTGATTAACAGACTATTAATGTGGACTTAATCATGGGTGTTTTTTCTGTGTGTCCTCCCAGAGATACTAAGGCATGTCCTCCCTGGAGAGTTTTTAAAATAAAATCCTGTCTCACTCTACTCTGAATATGGAGCCAGTAAATGAGATAAAGATAAAGGCTCAACCGATAGGATTTCCAGGAACAGAGTTTGACATTATAAAATGTCAAAAGTCTAGTTTGTAAAGTAGGTCTAATCATCAGGACATGTTATATTATTTACCCAAGGCCTTGCTATTAACCAGATGTCTTTGTCTAACTGGATGAAAGGCTGGGAGTCCATTTGGAGTTCCTTGTGGACTGCATCACACGTACCCCCTGGGCTCAGTTCCTGTGCACGCCAGGACCTGGACCAGACTGTCTCTAATTTAAAGTAGTTTACAACTTTTATTGGAGAACTTTAGGGATGATTGGCTGTATTTAGAGCATGCTTTGCCTTCATTATGAAAAAAGTTGAAAGTGAGAATTATAATTAATATTAACTTTACTAGGACAATTTTTCTATGAATTCAGGTTAAGATGAAAATGTTCTGTGAGAAAACCTCATGATGGGTTGTAACCAAGGAAAGTAGGAAACTTTGTGGTGGAAGAACGGCAGTCATGGGGATTTGCTAGTGATGGTGAAGTCATGGACCTTCTTTGTTGCTGTATTGTAAAGTTCTCATTATAAGAGATTGGTAGTCAGTCAGTAAGGTTGTATCTTCAGGCACTGGAAAACCTGCCAGGAACAGTGCACCTAGAAAAATGTCTACGTTGTCCTTAAAAAGAAGTACTTCTGCTTACTATTCCTTTATTTATCATATTCTTGTGGGGTAGGTCAACAAACAAGTAAATAAATGAAATAACACAATTTCAAGTATTGTTACACACTATTAAAAGAAAGCGAGATAAGGGGATAGAGAGTAATTAGTAGAGAGGGGTGCTTATTTTAGGGTGGTGAGGAATGTGTGCACCCGTGGAAAGGGAGGAATGAGTGTTTTGGGGTGATCAGATAGCACCTGTAACGGCTCCGAGGTGGGGACAGACTGGCATGTCTGAGGAACAGTTTTTTTTATCTTCACCCCACTCCTGAGACTTTCAGTCCTACTGTTGTACCGACATCCCTTTTTTCAGGGTTCCCCAGAACATCAGTCTTGACGAATTTAATGGAAAATTATCAGATCTTACCCTAAACTGTAGCAGCATTTGACACATTTGAATACTCTCTGCTTCTTGAAATGCTTTTTCTTAAAAAAAATTTTTTTTATTTATTTATTTGTACAGAGAGAGGAAGGGAAGGAGAAAGAGAGGGAGAGAAATATCAGTGTGTGGCTACCTCTTGTACACCCCATGCTGGGGACCTAACCCACAGAGCAGGCATGTGCCCTGACTGGGAATCGAGCCTGCAGCCCTTTGGTTCACAGTCTGGCGCTCAGTCCACTGAGCCTCACCAGCCAGGGCGAAATGCCTTTTCTTTTCTTTGCTCCCAGGACACAACTCTCTCACTCACTCATTTGCTTGGCTGCTCCTTCTCCATTGCTGCTCTTGGACCTCTTAATGTTGGAGTTTCCAGGCCTTAAAGCTCAACCTTCCTCTCCACTTAATGTGGGTCACTCAAGTTCCATATCTGTAGATGCCATCTACAGATCCGATGTTTACAAATTTGAATCTCCAACCATGGCCCCTTCCCCTGAATTCCAGACCTTGGCATCCAATTGCTTTCCTTTGTAGCTTTCCCATGTACATATTTGTATCTTGCTTAGGTTGTCACCAGTAAAGAAATAACCCTCTTTCAAGGCCATTCTAAATGCCACAGCTTACATGAAGCCTCGCCTGATACCCAGTTGATGATCTTCAAGCCTAGTTTAGAGGTCAGCTCAAGGGAAAAAGCAGAGGAGGTCTTTACTGCATCATTAACAGAAATTTTTTGCTGGGGCTTCTAGTGAAATTGGCAAAAAGCAGCTTCTTACGTTAAATGACCAAAACTGTACTGTTAAAAATGCACTATAAAAGTTAAGGATAGGGATGGGCAAAAATGTTAAGGTGGGGTTGTTCATTCAATTGAATTAATATTCATGAACAAGATACAAATAAAAAAGGAATGGGAGAACAAAAGGCCAAGAACAACCCATGACAGTCCTGAAGAAGAGTAAGAGCTTGGCCCCCTAGTCATCATGATGTACTATAAAGCTGTAATTGCTAAGATGATGTAGTATTGGATTAGCTGCCCTTCTTCTGTTATTTCTACACGTTTCAGTCATAATGATACTAGGAGGGGCAAAGCAAGTTAAGTGTTCATGGGGTGGGGTGGGGGTAAGTGTCGAAACCCAAGCAAGGTTAGGAGGGTACCTATGTGGGAATAGCCTGCTGTGGAGATCAGGGCCCTGGTGGTAGGAAGGACATCCCTGCAGAGGGACAGCCTGGCTTGGAGGGGTGTCAGATCCTGAACGCAGTGATGAGGATCTGCCCACGGAAGGGCCCTAGGCACAGGGTGTCAGTCTGAGCAGCTGAGGAAGCCTGAAGCTTCCTTACCCGGCATCCTGGGGTGTGGGTGGGGGCAGCCTAGAATGGAGAGGGGGCAGAGAATGTATAGGGAGAGAGAAGGGCACTGGCAGGTTCGGTGGGTTTGTAATGGCAGTGAGGTGAAGCAACAAGGGACAGCACCCCTGAAAGCCAAGAGACAATAGAGTTTTAGAACGTAAGGGGTTATTACCAGAGTCAGCTATGTGAAGTCAAGTGGGATAAGGACTGAGTTTGTAGGTGTGGGTTTGGATTGCAGGGTCAATAACAAGAGTGGATGTGAATTATGAAAGAAGGAAATAGAAAGTATGGATTACTGAAGAAAGGTGCTATAGTGGCAGGAGAGAAAAAGGATAACTTGATTTGGCACGGTGGAGGGAAAAGTACTCTGAGAATGGGAGAGACTGGGTTGTTTGTAGGCTTAGAAGAAGAATCCAGCAGAGAAATTTAAAACAAGGGTGTGAAGGAAGGTGATACATCAGAATAAATAGTAGAGGAAGGGCAGGGGAAGGGGATCACATATC